CTGGAAACCAACAAGTTGGGCTGTTACGCTCCAAATTTCGACAAATGCTCAGTGCGTATATTTGCCCCCAATTCAAGCCTGGTATCATGCCTGAAACGTGACCTTAATGCACTGGAGCAGCCACAGCATCGGCATCTAAGAACGTAATTGGAATGCGCAAGCTTTCATACCAGAGCCCGCAGCGATTGGGGGTATTCAGCGGAAGCTATCGCAGACTATGAGGCGACTTGGTTATGCCATACTTGATTCTACAAGACCCACATCACGTGTGCCGTCCTTTACTGCGATTTAGCACCAATACAACCCTGAGCGGTCACTCATTGAAACTCGCAGAACAGTATAGCCGTCCGGAGTGCCACGGAAATTTTCTCCATTCGTGCCTGTCACCCGTGGAACGCTCTCCCAGAATCGGTTGTCTCTGCACTGACACTAACGGTTGGATGACGCACTCATCCAATTACACGTTGTTACTTAGCGCCACGTCTCCATCCTACACCTGGAGTTTCCCATGGATATATTTGATGTTAACTGTGGGTGCTGTGAATCCAAGAGGATTGCAGGACTACAGTGGAGCAAACGATAAGTCCTTTTTCATGTTTAAAATACTAACTGTTTTACTATTATTATAAGTATTTCTATATCCCCACCAACTATCCCACTGGACTTGTAAAGCAACGCTTCTTAACCCGTATAAATTGATTGTTTACACTGGACACACTGGATACTGACGTGTGTCGCATGTCCGAAACTAGGATTAATTAGGGTTACGGGCTTCTTGATCTAACTGCACCTGGCTTGTACTCTCGTTGCTGGTTACTCGCATCCAGAGACGATGATGCGGCAACTACCGGTGAAACTAGGGTAGGCACGTCCTCAGCTCTAAGACCGAGTCGTCGTTGGTTGATTGGACCCCTGTGAACAGCCGTTTGTGTGCGGCCCGTCTAGTGACATCAACCATGGTTGATTCACTGTTTGTGGGTTCTGCTTATACCCTCACCGACTGCAGTTCTGATGCTGCCAAGGACGCTTTTTACAACTGGATACGCTGCCATGGTACGCTGTCATCTTTCCAAGAATTTTATCGAGACGTGTACCAAGCGACTCCCTCGATCGGCAACTGAGAAGTTATCCCAGTCCTTGGTCAAGCAAGCTTACTAGGATGCATTGCGTACCGAAGTTTCGCTCTCTTGTCGCAATGACACTGTGATTCAGTCGAACAGGATCTCGGCCGCATGCAAGATGCGGTACAAGCAATCGCCACCGCACCGGTCGCTGGATATTCGAGAGGTCAGTGAACCTGTTGAAATCCAGAAGTCAACTTCCAGCTTGCTCTGAGTACAAGATAACCAGACGGAGTATTAGGCACGAAACAAAACGGAGCCTGCGTGCTGACAAGGAAGGCTGGTGGACCAATCACTCTCAAGAAATGGAGCAGGCTGCAGCACTAGGCAGTTATCGAAAGGCCTACCAGCTGATCCGCAACACTGGTAACAGAAAATCAGGCACCAATGAGACTACCAGAGAGAGCGCAACTGCTCTGATTCACAATAAGGAGCGCCGTATGGCTCGTTGGACGGAACAATTTAGAGATCATTTCAGTTGGCTCCTTGTTCCTACTCAGGTGCTGCGAGATGAGCCATAGCCATTTAGTTTAGAGACTCCATCAGAGGCTGGTCCGAGTTCACTGGAAACCGCACGGTATAAGAATGGTGGTGAGGTCCGCTGAAAACCACTGACCACCCTGCTCAAACAGGTCTGGTAAGAAGAGGCCATAAAAGATAGCTAGAGTGCGTCGAGTATAGTAATAGTATGCTAAAATGGCAGTCGCATCGATAGTGCTAACCACAGAGGTATTAGCCTAACGCCAGTTGTGAGGAAATTACTGGCCTCAATTCTCGTTCGTCGTCTCACTGAGGAAATAAAATCGTGGAATAGAGCAAAGCAAGCAAGCTCCCGTCCACGACGGGGCTGCATAAAGCATATATTCACTCTGCTGAAGATGCTAGTGCAGCGTCCAGCACCACAGACGGAAAATAAGTGTTCCTCGACATTAAGCGTGCGTTCGACTCAATTGGTCGACCCACTCTATTCAAAATACTTGTGCAGAGGTTTTCCCATGAAATATGTGAAGATTTTCGTGCCCTGTACTCGAACGCCACAGGGTCTACGGTGAGTTGGAGAATATCACTCCAACAAATGGCGTTCGTCAGAGTTGCTCAATTTCTCTGTGTTTGTTTAACTTCGTCGTGAACTCCATCATGATGAGGTTTCCTTGCGGAATCTCACGATTCAAGTGTTGAGGTGCTGCCTGGTGAGAGGCCAGTTGATCGTGATTACATGGACCATGTTGTCTGGCTGTTTAATGATGTTAGGGCGGGAAAATAAACAAATTATAACTTCTCTAGTGTGGTCTAACCACTTAGCATCGTACCTTCAAAGTGCAAAGTGTTGTTCCAAGACTCTCAGTCACGTGTGACTCCGATCCTTCATAGCAAAGTATTCGAGGAACCTGGTCACTTCACTTACCTTGGCAGTTGCATGATCAAGGATTGGCGCATAAACGCTGAAGTCAGCGCAACCATCGCAAAATTCAGAACTGCCTTCTTGCATCTGCGACACCTGGGGTGTGCGAAGATGGTTCCCTCGATCCGAAAGGCCGTGTTTACAAGGCCACAGCGAGAGCCGTCCTACTCCATGGGAGTGGGATTTAGACACTCTCCGAGCTGATGACCTGCAGCGCCTCCAAGTCTTTCACTATCGTCGACTGAGAAGCATTACTGAGGTAAGATGGCACCAACGTGCCCGTAACGGTGATGCACGTTGGCGAGTGTTAGGCAGTGTTTATCATGCTAGTTCCTTAGAACAAATAGCACTAGATAATTTGCGTTGGCTTGGGCTCAATCACCAATAACCGAGGAAGACCTCGTTTTGCCTGCCAATTGTAGGGTGGTGCAAGGTTGGAGAGCAAAAGTTAAACTGACAGCGGGAAATGAAGTCACTGACGATCAAACTCGGTGCTGTTGGCTCCTCTCGCCTTTCAGGCTGGAGTCCACGTAACGCGCCATGTGCCTGGATCGAGACTACAGAATAGCTCGCAGTAGGCACCAGTGGCGTGCCTGTTGTCGTCTATTGCTTGTTTAACGTGTGCTTAGTGCTGAGTTATCTGCGTGTCAAGATCTGATTATGACGCAATGCTGTGAAAGCCGCAAAGAAGCTGTCTCGCTGATGCCGCCTTATCTTTGCAAGACAGCCAGCTGTTTGTAACGGTATAGTGTGAACACAAGGTGTAGGTGCCTTGAACCTGTATGTTTGTTCAGGGCATTACAATTTTACGCTAGGTCCCCTTTCGCTCCTTATTGGTATTTTTCGTTCCGTAGGTCACCATGATAGTATGACAGCAAATCACCAGTTCAAATGGCTGATATACTGCTGTTGATGATACTGAACTACAGGGGTATCAGCCTAAGGCCGGTGGTGATAAAATCTATGACCTCAATTCCCGTTCACCGCTTCACTGCTCCTGTTCTCGAACATAACAGGCCGTCAGCTTACGGTGAGTCATCTGATGCTTTTTCGACAAGTTGCGCTTGTCAACTTCCTAGTTCCCCATTTTCGTTCAACCGTGACATATTCCCTTGAGAAAGCTCACAATGTAGGTGTTGAGGTGCTACTTGGTGGAAAACTAGTTGACATTGACTATGATGTCTGACAATTGTGAGGCGGACCAGTCAACCATGGATAATTTCCATAGCGGTCTCATTTATTGGTGTGCGCTTCGTACCCCTTAACCATGAATGACAAAAAGCTTGAAGTAGTTGAGCCACCCGCGTACTTTCGTAGTTGCCACAACATCGGTGGCCACATGAAAGTCGTAGTTAGTTCACACACTGCGAAAGATGGAACTGCCTCCTTGGATCTGCTACTCCTGTGAGGTCAAAGGGGATATTTCTGTATCCGAAACACCTCGTGTACAGGGCCCCAATGGGGTCATCAGCAGTACGCCGGCATATCGTACCGATGCTTCGCAGCCACGCGTCTATAGAAGTGAGACTTAACCCCTTTGGTCAAGGACTCTGAGGCGCCTTCAAGTTCTCGAATATTGTTGTCTGCGGAGCATTGTTGGAGTCTGATAGCAACAGCGTATGTTGAAGGATGAAGCAGGCGTTAATAATCAGGACGATTTCTTAGCGTAATAAACAACATCGAATAAGTTGCGTTGGCTTAGGCACATGCTACGTGTTCTCGATCACAGCTAACCGAGGTTTACTGGATGGTGCATAGCTAATTTCCAAAAGTTGCGCCTCGTTCGAGATGTTGCAGAACATGGCTCGCAGCCGGCACTAGCGTAGGTGGAAGGATAGTGGAGGTGGAGAAACCCCTGCGCCTAATTAAGGCACATGTTCATTGAAACAGACTAGGTTGGGCACATGTTAGGATGAAACCAAATCAGGCGTTTGAAACAAGAGCATATCGAATAAAGGCATGTGGATTCACGAAGCAGTGGAATGGTTGCAAGAGATAGCTTAACATGGCCCAACATTATTCCATTAGAGGTAGATAACGTGCGCAATGGCTTCAAGAGTAAAAAGATGAACACTGACTATGAGTTAGGCGCACATAAAATTGTATTCAGTAAAGTGTATAAAAACATGCAACAATTACTTGTTGGCTCCCTGAGATGGATGAAGTTGAAGCAAAAGTGGAGTGTGTATCAAGAATAAGAAACAGGTAAGACCTCTGACAGGAAATGGTCGCAAGAAGACAGAAAACATCCGTCATTCGCAGTACGTGTGAAAAGCAAAAAGGTACAAAAATGAAAAAGACAGATTGTCGATCGCGAGAAAGCAGGAATTTGTGGCAACGTGGAAAAGCGTCGATAGAGAGCGTAGTCAGGAAACGAAATGGCACAGAGAGAATCAAAAGAGTGATTCTAAGTTCTCTTCATTAGACTGCTGACAAAAGTCCTGCACTAAACAAGCCACAAATAGCATCAAAAGCGCACCATTGACAATCAAGACAACAATGCCCTCGGTTTGGTAAGATGGCATTTCAAAAACTTTAAGAACAGCCAGGCCGACACGCCCACGACGCCAAAAAGTTTTATTATCTGCGCAGTAATAGGAACCCGAATCAGCAATGGTCAAGAGACGCAAGATTAGAGAGCCATTCTCGTTGGAAAACCGACCATCCGCCGATTGTTCACCATTTTCCAGCGTACCATTGTTAGTCAGCATCCATTTCAAGCGTTTGGGTGATAGAGTGGAGGAACAAACAAACGTTGCGTTTCCACCAACTGGGATCGACCGTGCAGATGGAACCACTTTGACTAATCCGAGGGCAAAATGAGCGAATGAAGTGAGACCCAACAGGCAGAGCAGGCAGGAAGCAAACATCAAGGTTAGAAGAAAAATATGTCACAGGTTTCAGTTGTGTGACTAGGATCAACCACGAGGCAAAACCGTGCTGCCAGAAGGCTGAAAAAAACAAGCAAACGGTTATGTGGAGCCTGAAGGCTACAGAAAGATACGTAGAGGCTATAGACGATAGGAATTTCCCACTGACCCCATATGACCGATAACAATAGTACATCGGTACAAGGCAGCGAACACTGGTGAAAAGTGATGAGCGGGAATCAAGACATAGGTTAGGTACTATACACTAGTTGCTATATACTGTATAAAACCCAACGGCGACCTGAAAACACTGACCTCGAAATATACATTTGATCATATTCTTTCTGCTGTTCGTTCACAGTACCTAGCGTATGAATAGAGTGTGACATCCGATCAAGCTACATCAATGCTTTGAGATGAACCTTGGTCAATTCCATCAGTCGAAACCGAAGAGTGTGAAAAAGAGCAACATCGGTAATGGAACAAGGTAATGACAGCGGAGAACATCTAGCAATTATCACGTCCATATACTGTGCAACCGAGTTTATAATTTAACCCCTAGTTATACAATGCGTACATAAGTACACGTGTATAGGAAATTTGGCGGGAGAGCCTATGGTGCGCTGAGGCTGGTGGTGACTAGATCCTGACAAATGGTCTACCCAATGCTGCTACTGTTGTGCCATGGGCCCATGTCCTGGACGCCTCCTAGTGGCGACCGCTGGGTGGGAGTTGGGTTTCGCCATTCTCCCTGCTAAGATCCAGGACACCAAACCGCATGAGTCGGCTAACTGACCATGTGCTAGACCGACTGCCTTTCGGGTGTACATTTAATCGAAGGGTTTGGCTGAGGAGCCGATTCGTTCTCCTGTAAGGTGTGGGTGCCCTGCCAGTATCCTAGTCCATCCTCTTCGGAGGTTAGGAAGTGGTCGATGGCCCACTTCCCGTAAAACCTAGCCATGGGAGACAACAGATATGCGGGTTATAAGCTCACAGCTCGATTGGCGTAGAGCACGAGCGCCACGCATTGTCTCTGACGGTGGGATGGCACCTCCGGGTGTTCAATGGTTTGCTACTGCACGCCACAAGCCAGGCAGCTCCTGGTCAAAATGGTGCAAACCCGCCAAAACCTACCTGCGTCTAGCCGTGGTCGCAGGTGCGTATCCTACTACGGTCGCAAAACATATATAAATCGTTCCAGTACCTCAAAGGCTGCGTGTGACAGCCGTCAAGCAGATCACAATCTGTCTCTGAAATCACATTCCCGAGCTGGATCTGCTCCCCACTGCCTGGTGGGTCAGGCTATTGAGCCAAAGGCTCCCGGTGGAGTCCATCAAGCAAACATCCGAAGCACAACGATCATCTCGAGTGCGATTGCCTACCAATACAATCGTATGCCCGCGTGCAAAGCACTCAGCATCGGGTGCTAGAACGTGCGCATACTACTGGACTGGAAGTCGAGTGAGCGCGCCGAGCGACGCACTGCACTGGTCGCGATGGAGCTGGCGCGCTACAACATCGATATTGCGGCGCTCAGTGAAACCCGGCTAGCTAAGCAAAGTAAGTTGTATGAAGCAGGTGCTGGCTACACATTCTACTTTGTGGACAACGCCGCCTCAGCACCACGTGAACATGGGGTCGGATTTGCAATATCCGATCGCTTCCATGGCCAGTTGGTGGGTGAACCAACAGGCATCAGCGCGCGACTGATGACTGTTCGCCCATGACTCGGAAGATGTAAGTTTGCCACTTTTATAAACATGTACGGTCCAACCATGTGTGATCCTGATGACACGCGTGATCAATTCTACACTCAGCTATCCTCCGTGATACGGTCTGTGCCGAGGAACGACCGACTATTTCCGCTGGGTGATTTCAACGTGCGCGTTGGGCGCGATGCATCGGTGTGGACAGATGTTATCGGTTCGCATGGCATTGGTTCAGCAAATGAGAACGGTGACAGGCTGCTCTCACTGTGTGTCACTCACGGCCTGACGATCACGAACACTCGGTTTGCACTGAGTGCGAGTGATATAGCAACTTGGACGCACCCACGGAGTGCGCACGCTCACCTACTCGAATACGTCATCGTACGTCAGCGTGATATGCGTGAACTGCGCATGACACGTGTACTGCGTGGAGCTGAGTGCGGCACTGATCACAAGTTGGTGCGGACCAAACTGTACATATATTTTCGTAAATCTGTATTGCACTGCCGCCGTGAAGCGGCGTAAATTTAACATTCTCTGCCTCGGTACTGTGGCTAAAGGTACTGAGCTGGAGAAAGCGATGGCTGCATGCCTGTGTGATGTGGACTGCATAGCCACAGTGGGCGACCTGTGGCACCACATTCGCGACCAGGTGACAGCTGCTGCCGAGGAGACCATCGGGCGCGCAAACTGTAAGCGTCCTGGTTGGTTTGATGAGAACAATGAGACGATTGGCGCGTTGGTGTCGGAGAAGGATGCAGCATTTGCTGCACACGTGGCAGACCCCAGTGACTTGGGGAAGAATAGTCAGTTTCGCAAAACTTCGACAATGACTGACTCGCAAGCTCCGTCGCACTGAAATTGCACGGTGGACGGAGAAGGCGAAGCAGATGGAATGTTAGCCGAACTCCGCCAACATAAGGAATTCTTTGACTTCTTAAAGGCAGTGTGTAGACCGAGATTGGAGCCGTTGAGGACGCTGATCCATGGTAGTTCAGGCGTTACTTGTACACAGACTGCAGATATAATGCAGATCTGGCAGAAACACTTTGACTGTCTCTTGAACAACCGTTCAGAGATTGACTGGCCTACAATGAACAGCCTTAAGCAGCACGATGTGAAGGCGAGTCTGGCAGACACGCCGACCCTGGATGAGACGCAGAGAGCACTTGCTCAGCTGCGAAACGGCATGTGTGCTGGGACTGACGGGATCCTGTCTGAAGTATTGAAACACGGCGGACCCACGTTGGTGACTGCGCTGCACTACTTAGTGCAATGCGTATGGATTGAGGAGGTGCCTCCTGAACTGAAGGATGCCGTTGTGCTACTACTGTACAAGGGCAAAATAAGCAAGCAATGTTGCACGAATTATCATGTCATCAACTTGCTGAGTTATGTGGGCAAGGTGATTGCCCGAATCCTGCTCAACCGCCTCGTCAGTCAGGTTGTGGAACCTAACGTGGCGGAAGAGCAATGTGGATTCCGTGCGGGTCACAGCACTATAGATATGGTGTTTGCGGCTCGTCAGTTGCAAGAGAAGTGCAGAGAACGACACCAGCCGTTGTACTCGCTTTTTGTTGATTTTACCAAGCCATTTGATACGGTGAACCGCGAGGCATTGTGGCTGATGCTGGGTAAGTTTAGTTGCCCGCCTAAGTTTGTAAGTTTAATTGAATGTCTGCACAGTGGTATGCGATCGAGGGTGCAGCTGAGTGAAGTGATCTCGGATCAATTTGCAGTGGTCGCTGGTGTGAAGCAAGGCAGTGTCTTAGCTCCTGCCTTGTTTAATATATATCTTCGTGCAATGATGTCTTGTACTTTTAATGCGGCTTGTGCTTACGGTGTTCGTGTGGAGCACCGTATTGATGGTGGGTTGCTGAACATCCGTCGTTTCGGTGCGAGAACTCTAGTCTCTGAGACAACTATCCGTATGTTGCTGTTTGCTGACGACTGTGCTTGGTTTACACACAGTGCGGATGAGTTGCAGCACATGACTAGTGCTCTGGCTTCGACAGCGACCAAATTCGGGCTCACCATCAACACAAACAAAGGTGTCTGTCTCTGTCAGCCTTCACCGGAGGTGTTATCTTCAATATTGCCGCGAATCAGCATTGGTGCTGAAGTATTGAAAATCACCTCTCGCTTCAGCCACCTTGGGAGTGTGATGTCGACTGACCAGCAGCTACACAGTGAGCTGCGTATTCACGTCTCGAAGGAAGCGGCGGCATTAGGGAAGCTAGAGTACTGAGTGTGGAACAACCATCAGCTTAGCATTGGCACGAAGCTGATGGTGTACAAATTCATGGTGCTGTCCGTTCTTCTATACGGCAGTGAAACGTGGACGATGTACTGGCGGGATGTGAGATATCTCGAGCGATTCCATCGACAGTGTTTGCGACGGATTATGAGCATCGGATGGGGCGACAGAGTTGCGGACACGGAAGTGTTGCGTCGAAGTAGAATGTATGCAGTGGACTACATACTCTTGCTGAGACACCTGAGGTGGCTCGGTCATGTGAGCCGTATGGATTCAACGCGGATACCGAAAAAACTATTAAATGGTCAGCTGAATATTGGGAAGCGGCGTGTGGAGAAACCAAAGTTACCTTTACCAAAATATGATCAAAGTGAGCCTTTCACGTTCTAATCTTAATTGCAGGTCACGGGAATCGAAGGCGGTTGATCGGCGTGCATGGCGCGATCTAATCATGAAGGCAGTTGCCCAAGTGCAGGATAAAGACCTCATGCATGCAGAGAAGCGGCAAGTGCAGAAGCGGCAAACACCGATGGGTTGTACTCCATCGACATCAAGTGCGTGGTGCTGTAGCACATGCGATTGCGAGTGCGAGTCAGGCAGGCCTAGTGAGCCATGAGCGAGGCCACTCGGGACCAGCACCGACGGGTCCTGCAGAGAACGTAGGCAGAACCGACACAGCGTTTGTAGGTACGCTGAATTCGATTTACTAACCGCGTGCTTACATGTTAAGTCTCTTTGTTTCAGGTGGGGGGTTTGCAATTTTGTACTAATGCTTTTCTTTCTCATATAAATGACTACCAGTAAGTCCTTCTATTAACCTGAACATGTAGCTTAAACCAATGGCATTTAATTTCGATAACATTTTCGTGTTCGTGGCATTTCCGCAAAATATACTTTCAGACCTCGTGAACTTATCTCGGATCCGTTTGTAAACAACTTATATCATATGCACATTAATTTATAATTGTTTACCGTTTCCTTATGCAATACTCAATTTTCAAGAACGAAAGACCGAAGGTAAACAATTGTTTTCG